TGATTTCTTTGCTTATCTAGAATTTTATTTTGAAGTAGTTGTTGTAATCATCTACTTATAGTTTTTTCTGATAACAGATATACTTGATAGATATAGAGCTTATATTTTGTTAATAAAAAGTTGGCTCTTATTATATAGCCTTCGATTTTTTCTATAAATTCTAACTTTTTTTCAATGTTTTTATTAATGAGAAGTCTCACTCCAGATTCTTTGGATTTTTTATCATTGCTACTATGGAAAAACTTGTGTGTCTATTGTAAAGTAAAGATGAACTTTGCTGCTTTATTTGTTAGTTTGGTTTTATAGATACCTAGAATATCTATATCAAGTTCTTGTAAGAGTTTGTATGGCCTTTGTTAATCCAGATTAGTATTGATCCCTCTGACATTGTGCATTTCAACTAAAATTGTATTGATTAGTAAAGAGTTATCTATAGTATATTTGTTATATAGCATATGTTCTTTTTCAATTCTATTGATAGTATTCTTTTTTAATTTACTTATAAAGTCATCCGATAATGTATCATATATTATATAAGAAGAGGTTATATCAATGTCTGCTGTTTTTTTTAGGATTACATCTTTTCTCTAGGATGAGCTTGACTTTTCTTGTGAATTAAACTCTCTTCTAGTATACATAAATTGAACTGGTACTAATTTCAGAAGCAATTATTTCATCGCCTTCCTCTTATTATATTCTGATTGCTTATTTTTTCTTCAATTAGGTTTATTCTATTATTTAGTTATTTAAGATTGTTTAGGTCTGATAAAGGGGATCTTGATCACTTTCACTTTTGGGTAGGAACTTTCAGATCTATCATGCCAATGTCTTTTATAAAAATATTTTATTGGTTCCCTGTTACTACTAGTGACAAAATATTGAGGAGTTTCTATTGTTCTAGTAGTATGTTTGTTACCTTGAAAATTATGTCCTTTTTTTTTTCTCTTTTTTCTAGATTTATTCTTTTTTTAGAATCTCTTTTTATTGCTGCTTTGCCCTCAGTCATTGTATAGCAATTGGCCTTAGTATTGCTTCTAATATCAGTTTGACCCAATTGTCTTAAGTAAAGTTTACTATGTGTTGTTTTGAAATGAACTTTCTTATCATTATCTTCATTACTTTCTATATAAGTCAATTATTTATCATATACCATTTCTTTTTTAAAGTGCTCCCTAGCACTCTTGTGATATGATCTTGTCTTTCTTGAAAAGAACTTTGTTTTTATTTAAAATGTTCTCTAGCACTCCAGGTAAGTTTATAACTGTAAATAAATATATGCTGTTTTAAAATATTATTCAAATCTTATGTTGATAAAAAGCAAATTATTGTATAGCCTCTTCTCTTTAGTGTATATGGATTTCTAGGGATGTAACATAATTTGGCTTTGATATGTTTGACTGTTCATATAATTAAATCAGTTATAGTATTATGTGTTTTATATAGTTGTAATAATTGTGAATTATATTGTTTGATAATTCTATTAATTTAATTATCATTAAGCTCATGTTGGATAAAGATAGTCTTAATAGTTTTTGTGTTGATATGAATCATCTATTGCTCTTTGAGGTTGATATATTCTTTATAAGGGGTAATACGTGCCTTGATTCATTGTTGTGATTGTGAATAATTATAAATATGAATGTTTGTTATATATCTATATTTATTGAGAGCAGATTTGATTTCTTGACATGAGTGGTTTCAGTTAATATCTATAAGTATAATCACTAGTAAGGTTTTTTCTTTATTTTTTGTTTGTTGAAAAACTTTTTTATTTGATGGTTTAATAGAGTTTAACTATTTCTCTATATCTATAGGTATAATAGTAAAGTCTTCTCCCTTTTTTTTATTAATCTTTTTAAAACATTGTAATATATCTTTCTCCTCTTCGCAACAAAATGTTATCCATATATTGCCATTGATAAATTTTTTTTTAAAGGGTTAAAAATCTTTTGGCAAGTCTAACATATTTTGCAAATATACCATTTTTTCTATTTCAGTTTTTCCTGGAAACCTGGAAATAAATATATTCATTTTATATTCACTATTTACCTTGATATGAAAAGGATTGATATTAGATATCTTTAGTCTATTTCTTGTCTTATATGTATATTGCTTAACTATATTGTATCTTTTAATCTTTTCATTGATAATTTCCATTTCAATTATGTCTTTAAGCTTCTTATTTCCCATTTTAATTTCAGTAATATTTGGAATTTCAACTGTTGTGATTGTTTGAACTTCCATGGTGATTGCCTTATTTGATGAGCTATGTATAAAAAATTGTTTTCAAATATTGTCTGACTTGACATAATATTTTGTAAAGAGTATTGTGCTTGCTCAGCTTGTTTTATTATGTTTAAGTATTTATCCTCTAAAAATAGAGCTAGAAAATCTTCTTCTTTTTCTTGTCCTTTAATCCATAGATAGAAAATATATTGTCTAAGAACATTGACTTTAATAAAGGTGATATGATCAATATTCAGAATTTTAGCAATGATACTGTTTATGATCAAGTATTGAATTGGACCTAAGATGAATTCATGATGACTTCTTGAGTTGAAGTAATATTAAGAAGAATTTATATTGCCTATAGTTTTCATTGTTAATCATATTTGTCTGATAATTGAGCTAAAATCTCTATAATGTATGCTTTTCTCTTTTTAGCAACCTGTAAAAGTTTGTGTTTCCTTATAGACATATTAATTATGTGATAGGAAGTAAGTTGACTGTGTTTGGTATTATTGTATTTTGCTGATAATCATTGCTATGTTTTCTTAAATATATGTTGTAGATTTGTTTATTTCTTATTATTATTTTGATAATATGAAAAAATCTTATTGTTTATTGTGACATGTTAATAATATTTATTTTATATATATATTGTGATAGTATTATTGATATTGTTGATCAGTTAATAGTAAACATGTGGAGTTATGAGGTTGGTGATAATTGATTTGTATAAACATATAGAAAGTGTATCAATATTGTTTATTTAATACATTTTTTAAGCTTGTGAAAAGTATATGTATTTGTATTTGCATGACATAATATTATTGAAATACTGTTGTTGTAATGTGTATGCTTCTTTACTGTATAGTCAATGAAGCTTGGATGTCCCTCTAGGTTTTATAAGTATTTGGACTTGGATTGATTTGTTGATTTGAGTTATTGCTTGTAAAGCTTCTTTTGGTGTTTATAAAGGTGTTAACCTGCACTGGTCTAATTAGGAGCTTTGTAAGGTTTATGTTGGGCTTACAAGAGCTTACTGTGATTTGATTTTTCTTGTTATTTTTTTCTTTTTAAAAGAAAAAATTTATGTAATAGAATATAAGTAATTTTATAAAACTTACCTCTTCTACACTTTGTAAAGAGTTCTTGAACTTGTTTTTATAAGTTGTTTAGTTGTAAAGATGATTGTTGAATTATAGTATTAGTATATTTTTTTGTTTTGCTATTTTAAATATTATTAAGATTTTTTAAGTTAGATAATAATTATCACTTGTTTATATGAGTAATGTTTGTTTGTTTATTTGTTTTTGCTTATTTACTTTTGTTTATATAAATAAGATAATAATTTGTTGATTATATTTATGTTACTATTTTTAGATTTATTGTGTTATTGATGGTTACTATTATATATAAGTATAAAGTATAAATATATTAAATGAGTTGTTTATTAAACATATAAGTAAGTTGTTATTTGAGTTGATAGATGTAATATGTTTATATTACGTGATCTTAGATATGAAGTGTTGTTGTGTTATTTATATTACTTTTTACTATTAAGTAATTAAATTAAGACTTGAATATTCTTTTAGGTATTGTGAGTTCTAAGCTTTAATTGATTTATTAACTAAAATTATTGACTACAATGTTTCTTTTAATATTAAGAAAGGTATTAATTTATATTAACCTGGCTGAGAGCTTTGTAAAGTTGAGGTTGGATTTCCAGAAGCTTATTGTGAATTAATTTTTTTGAAGTTTTTTTTTCTCTATAAAAAAAACTATGTTGTGACAGTTTATCCTATATAAAAATATATTTATAATATTTATAAAAAAACAAAATCAAATAATTGATATACTTAATCTATTTTAAAAGATTTATTAAAATCAAATCTATATTAAAAGTGAAAGAAAAAAAATTAAAGAATAAGAAACTTATTGGAATTTTGATTTTGGTTAGAATTTTGATTGTAACCTGCAATGATAACCTGTAGGCAATGATGTTCATAGTTGAAAGGATATTTATCTAACTATTAATAGAGTAAGAAATCACTTTTAAAGTTGTATTTAAAGTTTTACATTAAAACAAGTAAATTAAAGAATTGACTTTAATGATATATAGAAAATATGTACAGTTTACAAATAGTTTAATAAAACACACATAGAGTTAAAAAAATATTCAAGTTTTTTTAAAGATAATTATTAGTTATTGCTTAAAATAATTTTATTAAGAAAATCAAATTAGAATATATTGTAAACAATCAATTATCTTTTTATTTGAAGAAATCCACACATGCGATATTTTATTTTTATTGCTGACTATTTTAATTTTGATAGGATACTGCAGGAATGTGGGTAACTATTTTTGAAGGCGGACTGGAAATTTTCTGGCACTAAAATTGGGATTCTAAAATTTACATTATGCGTGTATTGTTTAAAAGTAGGGCCCGAAAAATCATATCTAGCATTTTTGTTGCCTTCAAAAGTAATTACCCATGTATAAAACAAATATAATAAAATTGTTAAGTATTTTTGCATTATTCAATCGATTTATTACTTAATTCAACTTTATTCTTCAAGTATAAAACTTTAGTAATCTTTAATTTGACTTATTAAGCATCTTAGTGTTATTATTTATTACGCTCCCTCGAGGAATAAATAAGCATTTGCAGTATTACTTTTAAATTTTAAATCCCAACATATTTTACATTAGCGCATAAAAAAAAAAAATTTTTAAAAGGAATGTGGTGGTGGCTATTTGCGAATTGTGTGAACTCTCACCGGTTAACAGGAAGTTCATCGGCTTCACTATTTTCACCGGCAGGAGCAGAGTTCAAAGTAGAAAAATTATCTGGAGAGAAGGATGAATCCTCACTGAAACTAATATTTTTTTCTCCATGGGAGTTATGGGCTCCACTATCCTTGGCAGATAAACTATCTAAAATAGTGCTATTCGTCTGGGAGACGCTTGACGGTGGAGCAACGAAAGAATTGGAGGCCGACGAGTCACTACTGTATGGCGTAGGATTATAGTAATTATGGGTGAGACAACCATGGTGTGTACTTTTACGCCGAGGAGAATGATTAGTGTCATTCTCGATACTATTCGAATTACTACTGCCACTACTTAAATTTCCGCTTCCATTGTCGGCATGATACCCGATAGAAGATTGGTTGCTCGAGTATTCGGATGAGGTTGTGGTATCTACATCTAGAGAAATTCCTAGTTTTTGTCTTTTATGTGCACCACTGGGAACTCGAACTAAGTAGAAACTTTTTTTTAACAATGAACATTGAAATTTCAAAAAGAAAACAATGCAAAAAAAAAAAAAACCAGTAGTACGGTACTTACAATTAGAATTATGTTTTTCCTTAAACTCTTTAAGATACTCTTGGTATTGCTAAATCCAAGGAATGTTGATCAACAATTATCTTTCGAAGTGGGGGATGTTAAGCAAAAGGACATACCTTCCAATTATCAGTGGTTTTATACGTAGACAGGGCAAGTTGATATTCTTCTTTGGCCTTTGATGCGTTAGATTCTATAATCTTTTTTTCTTCTGGGGGTATTTTTTTCCAACGGTTGCCGACTATCTTTGCCATTTCAGTAAAAGGGATATTTTTCCCACGATATTCTTCGCGAACCTTATGTGCAAACATGACATAAGCCGAAAGTGGTTTGACAGGTGCATTTTTGTCGCGTTTCGGATGACGCCTGTATTTTCGTTTCGTACATTTGCTTCCCTGTACATGCTGAGGATCTGATGGTTCATCGTCCTCAAGTGTCCTGCTTCCTTCTTGCGGAGATTCCAATGTTGCGCTATCAACAGTGAGGGGCGTGTGAGGAGTTTTCAAATGAATGTTATTCGAAATACTATTTAATCCTGTCAATAAAAAGGTCGATTAGACCATAGGGTGGAAGGTAAGACAGAATTTTAATCGTCCATACGATCATCCGCGTTGCGTACCGCTTTGATCACCTGGTGAAATAAAAATAGGTTGATCCGGAGAGATCCCTTTGGCTGTTGCAATCTCTCGCTGCAAACGCTGAAATTAAACTATTTCTTCAAACACCATGATAGCATAGCAATAATACACAAAGCGCATATGATGAGTAGATGAAAATCACCCTGCGATGCCCTCGTTTGACATCCATTGCAATTAAGTCAGCCTCGGTCACGTCAAACAGCTATGTCGAAAGCGGCATCAGGAAAGATTCATGAGAAGTCTCGCTATGCTGTTCATAAGTCGAATTCAATTTTTGTATATTACTTATACTTACCGATTGTAGTTGATCAAATCCTTCAGCAATGAATCTATCATAATAATCCGTAAGATTACATTCTTTCAAGAAATCTCGGACTTGGGAGACATTCGACATACTTTACAAGGAGGTATTATTATTTTAGGCCATTAGTGATGTCACAGAATGGAAAATTTTTTATACATATCCCAAATTTGTACCTCATGGAAATAAATATAATTAGGTCGTTAAAAAAACTGTTTAATTTCACAGTTGAAGGAATTTATTTTTTTTCTAATTTGTAAATAATTTTTGCTAGAGTTATTGATGATTTTTTGGTTAAGTAAAGCCACTACCATTTTTTAAGAAGGATGACATAGAAATACAACATTTATACGAAGACGTAGTTTTATATAAAAAGGGGCGTAATACTAATATCTAAATTAGCCCCTAATATCATATCGTAAAAACCACAGCAAGTGACCCAACGGGAAAAAAAAAAAGAAATTCGTTTAAATGCAAACTCTTTACGGTGTATAAATATTAACTTTAATAAAGTTGTCCCACTGATAGCATACATGAATCATATACGTAATGAATCACGTAATGAAATTAATAAAATGATGAGAATATTTTTTGCTCGCAAAAAAAAATATATATATATATACGCATTGTACATATATGCATACATGTTACATGTACTTTGTTTGTTTATAATCGATTTATCCAGAATGTAGAAGAATTTCTACCAGTTTCCGAGGCAGTTACATTTTCAAACAGTTCGTTATGAGAATTTTAGAGTCCAATAAAAAATGTGTCACACACAACTATTTCATCTGTCTGACCACGCCCCTTTAGTGTAATAAAACTGTCGGTTACTCAGCATCACGTTGCTCGGCAACTTCTGCGAGCATCTCCAAGTATTCTGGAATTAACTTCAACACGAAAACAGATTAACTGATAAAAATTTTTTGAATACGCTGACAGCTCAACTAGCTAAAAATGAATTATAAGGGTCCACGGTGATTACTTTGCACGAAAATTACATCATATTAACGTGGTTACACGGTGCGGTGATGGCAATTCGTCGTCCCGTGCACTAATCCCCGGAAAAACATCCACATGCAATTTAAGTCTATTTTACTTTCTGAATGTAAATTTTTGCCTGATTAATCAAAATTACAAACAAATAAGCATACTCAAGAAATTAATTATTAAAAGGAGTGAATTTCTTTAGCATACTCCATTCTTTTTTTTTTTTTTCTTGAGGGGAGATGGTTTTCTAGATTGCGTCATACTTTCATCAAAATGAAATCACAATAACGAGATAAAAGATAAGACGCATGTATGTCATAATTGCATTTTAACTAGCCGACCTATCATAATCGTGTAACAAAAGCAATGACGTTAAGCATTAGCTTTTTTATGTATATTTATTGTTTGCGAGAAATATCTATTTTTCTTCACATGTGAAGTATAAATTAGAGTTATGATCAACAAATGTTTTTGTTGATCACGAAACTTTTGCACAAAAGTAGCGACGAATTTTTATTACAATAAAAAAAAACCAAAAATAGTTAAATTTCAGAGAGCGCTCGGAGTATATAATTATATGGTGCGATCAGTTTAAGAATAATAAAAATTTTAACTTGTATCTATTAAAAAAAAGAAAATTATAAACACTAAAATAAAATATAGCAATAATTTGATAGACATTACTTCTTTTTTTTTTTTTAATTAACAATCATATTATCAAGACATATATATTTTTATTGAAACATTAAATAAAATACATTAACTTTCATATAATAGTTAACTTATCAATAAATATATTATATACTATTTTTTTTTTTTTTTTTTAATATAATCCACTGTCAGGTTAATTATGTGTGCTTTATTAAACATAATATAGGTTATACTATTTACAGTGTCACTAAAGTTAAAATGCTAATTAACTCACTTGTTTTGGTTTTTTGTCAAACTCTAAGTGTAACTTTGAGAGTGATTTGTCATCCCATTTATAGTTTGGATGAATGCCCTTCTACTATAAATATTATTACCTGCAGTTACTATTGCAAATTATTGATCAAAGTTCTAATTGAGCCTAAAACCCAACAATTTAATCCCACTTTTAATTCCCATTATTATTATCCTTGTTAAACCTTTTTCTAAACATTCTTCTTCCATTTTTTTTCTTTCTTCTTTTGGATTTCTCACTTTTCTTATTGGATAAGACTTTGTGAATCTTCTTATTTTATCTTTCTGACTGAAATAATTCAAAATCTTCTTTTAACACTAGAATATTTATTTTCTAGTAACTGTTTCTATCTTTTTTCTTTTACATTCAAGTTCCCCTACTTCTCTTAATAGATATCTTTTGATCAGTCCTGAGAGAAAACTAACTGAGTCTTGACTATTTTTGAAACTCTTCTTATTAGCTTTGTTATACATACTTCTATTTCTCTCATTTCTTTTTTATCTACTATTGGGATACTATTGCATTCTTTTTGAGCTTGATCTTTTTGCTTCTGTTTCTCTTTCTTGAATTCTTGATATATTATCTCTACACCTCTTAATTAGGCTTCCTTTATTGATTTTTATATCTTAGGTATTCCAAAAGATATTTTATTGTTTCCTTCTATTCTTCACATGCTAGACAATCTTCTTTGAAATATAGATATTGGTAGTTCATTATTGATTAACTTTATCAGAAAACTTTTCCACTATAAGCTTTTAAAGGAGATGTCCCATATACAGTATGTTCCTTTTTTAATCTTTTCCATACCATGTTCCATAAATAGTTCTGTTAATCTTTTATTTGAAAGATTCTATTTGTCCTTAGTTCAGTTTTATTGTGATCAGCAATATATTATTATTTTATTATTTATCTTTTTTATAAATTGTCTTATGGGGCTATCCAGTATTATATTCTATTATTTGACTTTTATAATGATCTTGTCAGATTTAAAACCCTTCTATTGAATTGTTGGGAGGTTTAGTGCTTCTTTAGCCAACTTGTTTATTAGATCATTTTCCTTAATATTGGTGTGCACCTTAACTTTAATCAACTTCAATTTTATATTTTTTGTTTTGACAATATTTAGTATTCTTATTCAAAAGAACCAGTTTTTTTCTTTAAGTATCTTCTATGAGTCATTTTTGGATCGTCTTTTTTCAACTTGTTTTATTTAGATAAGGATAAAATTTTATAATTTATAAAAAAAATATTAAAAAAGAAAAGATATTGATTTGATTATAATTAAATTGAATATACTATATACTATTAATATTATTTCAATATTATAAGCTAATTATTTTTCAAGAGTTATAATTCTTATTTATCAATTTTAATTTTATCTCTTCTATATTCTATCAAGTAGAAGATCTTTAATAAATATTTTTTGAGTAATAATAAATTGGAAATGTTAAAAGAAACTTTAAGATACAAAAAAAAAAACTTGAAACCTAACAATAATTAATTTATTTTTCTTTATTATTGCAATAATACTATTCTAAAAAAAAAATTGGATACTTTTGATATACTGTATATCTTAATAGACTTGATAAATATTATGTTATTTTTCTCTAAATACTATTATTTAATAAAAATTGAACTATTGTTTATCCTAGTATATTCTTTAAACTTTTTAGTTTGGTTTTTTTTTTTTTTTTTTAATATGACTCTTTGTCAGGCTAGTTATATGTACCTTATTAAACAATTGTAAGCTAAATATTATATGGTTGCTTCCAAAAGTTTGAGTCCACCTACTATATTTTTATTATAAATTTCAACTTTGACAATTTTTAAATTATTAATTATACAGTCAAAAATTATAAAATTTATATATATTATATTTTAATACTTATTTTATTTCTTATATTTTTTTAAAAAATTTTTATTAATACATTTTGAAGTTTTGTTATTGTTAAATATTTTTATATTTTTATTAATTATTATATGCTTTACAATAACAGCCAATCAAAATTCTCCAAAAGTAAAAATTTAATAAAGAAAGAAAAATTTTAACAATAATAAAACTTTAAAAATTAAATATTCAAAATTTTTGAAAAAAATATAATAAATAAAACTAGTATTAAAGTATAATATATATGAATTTTATAATTTTTAGTTGTATAATTAAGGATTTATAAATTGTCAAAGTTGAAATTTATAATAAAAACATAGTAAGTGAACTCAAACTTTTGAAAGCAACTATATATGTATCACTAAAACTAAATCTCTAATTAACTCACCCGTCAAAGTCTTATATTTATCTAGAACTCTAAGTACAACTTCAGGAGTGATTTATCACTTCGTTAATAGTTTAGGTAAAAACTCTTCCAACTTCTAACATTATTGCCCATAGATCACTACTGCAGATCACTGTACTATGTTCTGACAAAGATCAAAACCTAACCACTTCATCCCATATTTAATCACATTTCTTATAATTTCTACAAGGTTTTTGTTTTCACTCTCTTTCACTTCTTTTTTTGCCTTGTGCTTTTGTGACTAGGATTATCTTACAGGTCTTGCCTTCTTGCTTCCTGAACCTTCTTATATTTTGCTCTCCTATCAATTCTTTGTTCTTGTTCCCATTTAATGATTTTTTCACATCTCACATTCCAAATTTGCTTTCAGATCTGATTGCAAACCTTCTTTTGTATTTTTAGAATCCATTTTTTTTGCCATTGTTTCCAGCTTTTTTTCATAACAGTTTAGGTTAGCAGTTTCTTTGATTGCATTACTTTCTACTAATCTTATACAAAAGTTAAGGGTGCTTGAACTGATTTGCGAGGTTGATTCTATTAGTCTGGAGATCCATTTATCTAATTTGTCTTTTTCTCTTCTATTGTTAACTGCTAGTTATACCATTTTTTTATCCACTTTCCTTTTACATTCTTGATACAACTTGTTAAATTCCTTAAGAAAAGTCTCAGATCTTTTTTGTCATACCATTAGAATCTCAATTTTATGACCAGAGTATTCTAATAAGTGTTCTATTGTTTCTTGATGCTGATTACATGCTATATATTTTGCTTGTTTGTATAGGTCTGGTTTTCTTATTACTAGCTTGCTTAAGATAGGTAGTTCATCATTGATTAATTTAACCAGAAAATTTCTTCTCTGTGAGCTT